ATATATATATATATATATATAAATTAACTTAACGCGTAACTGTCGAAAAATACTTTCAAGACATTTTTGTAAATGCTATTAGACATTTTCACAACACCAGAACATTTGTATAAGATATGGCAATTACAAAAGAATATGTTAAAGAAAAAATATATAAATAAAATAATAGTTAGCTCTATCATCTTGAACAAAATAATCACTGAATAATTTGTATAAGCATTGAATAACAAAATAAACATTGAATAAAAAGGTATTATGTGGTAGGGAAAAGTAAAAAAGTATATACACTTACAAAAAAAATTGTTCACCTTTCGTTTTGGTCTTTTGTTGCTTATTTGTTTTCACGAGAAATATTTTTAATATTTATTAATTATGCAACTAATATTTATCAGTATAAAACTGATAGATGTTAGCTGAATCATTATTATTTTACTTTAGAGTCAATAGTTGTAAAAAAACTTGAAAGAAACCATGTTTGTTTTCATTTATACCATATTTACATATAAACAATCAACATGTATGTGATGCTGTTATTTAGTCTAAAACACTAAATACTTTAATGTAAAACTGGAAATAACTAGTTATCACCAAATATCTAGTGTTTTTTAAAGTTAGAGATGGCTTTTTCAAACCTTCACAAAGTGTAATTAAAGTTAGCAAAGCAACAGAACAAAACATTGTTATTAAGTGATATTAATTTTAATAAAGTATTGCATAGTTGATGATATTTCAGTTGTGAAACAATATAAACATGCCCTCAGAGTTTCAAAAATTAGAAAACCATTTACAAAAATGTTTGATACAATGTTTTTATCATGTTTTATTCTTGTAAAGTTACTTTCCAGCTACTATTGCTAAGTAAGGTCGCATCAAGTTGTTAAAATAAACACCCAAAAGTAACCAGATCAAATATCAATTTGTCTTTCAGAAAAGTTTTATTTAGAATATCATGAATTCAACAAATTTAACAAGTTCATAGAAACCAATACAAATTTTATCATTTCTTTATAGCGATATTTCTCTTCGTCGTTAATGTTTTGCGTGTTTTTGATTCCCTTTTATAATTTTTACACCTTCAAACATTTTAAATATAATAATATCATTGAAATATGTGACTTGGTCGAGTAGATATAAACGAAGTAAAAAGGTACATCTTCAAGCGCAATCACTGTATTTTCGGTATTCTGGGGCTTTCCAATATGGCGGCCGTACAAAATATTGGCTTCACTTTTGATAATAGAGATGCGCTATCCAGTTATTATAGAGATCAGTGAGGTTAGACGCCAAGGTTCGAGAACCAAGATGTTTGAGGTTCGACACTAGCCTAATAAGCGACATCGGTAAGGAAAGAGACGTGAACTTCTTAGTTAATGATTCTTCGGTGGTGGTCTGTGATAAGGCTTCCGTATAGGTTTCTTAATAAACACAATTATAAAAAAAAAAAAAAAATTGAGTAAGTAAATGATGTCACTATTATATTATTTTATTATTTGTTATATTTTACACCTTTAAATTTATTTTCTTCGTTAAAAAGTTTGTTTTAGCTAATTTTTAACGGTGATTTTTTATTAGATGAGAAGGAACACCATGATACATGTTTGGTTTTTGTTTTGTAACAATTTTGTTTTGTAACAATTTTCAACACGCTATTTTTACAGGCTTGGCAGTTCCTTCATACATTGCGGCACGGCTGATGGGTTGTTAAATTTTTTTGACAAGTCATGTCATGAGTCTTTTAGCAGTTGATTCGGCATGATGAAATGATGCCAGGCCTCGCCAAAAGACATAATCGCATGATGATCGATAATAAACGGCATTAATTTTCTCTTAGGATAATCCTTCTTGAAGATGACTTTGTTGGTTGCGAGGCCGCTGGGGAAGAAAAATGGCACAAATTTACTTAGTTAAAAGCGGACGATCAGGGTTCAAACTTGCGTCGGGCGACCAGGGTTCAAACTTGCGCTTTTTAACGCTAGAGTCTAGGCTCTCTAAATTGCGATACAGACACTCAATGCTGGCCTTGATTCGCTTATTTTGGCTCTTTTGTCAATTAGATATCAACGGTATCAAATAGACATCGGTGTCAAATAGACATCAACGGTAACCGACATAACTTATCTCCAACGTGCATTGAGCGCGACCTTGGGGTACTAATATCCGACAACCTCAAAGTGAAAGCACAAGTAGAAGCAGCAGCTTCAACCGGAAATCGAATGCTTGGTCGCCTCAAAAAGACATTTCGATGCTGTAGCCTCCAGCTTTGGAACAAATTGTACCAGCTATACGTTTGACCGCATCTACCCAGTGGGCACCGGACCAAAAAAAGACGTCTTTTGAACGTTCAAAAGACGTCCAAAACGTTCAAATAACGTTCAAAAGACGTCCGAAACGTGTATTAGACGTTTAAAAGACGTCTTTTTACGTCCGTGCCCACTGGGTAGAGTATTGTGCACAAGCCTGGTCTCCACATCTGAAATCGGAAATCGTCCTTCTCAAACGTGTGCAAAAACGTGCAACAAAAGTTATATCGTTGATTAAACATTTTATTTACGAAAAACGACTACAACTACTAGATCTTATCACGCTGGAAGAACGGAGAATTCGTAGTGACCTTATACTGTAATACAAAATTGCTCATCAGTTACAAGAAGTTAAATTTTACATACCACAACCCCAGCCTTTTTTGTTAAATTCACGATATAATCTGAGAAGAAACAGCCGATGTTTATACACTGATCAAAAGAAATTCAGAACGTTAGCACTTTTTTACAAACCGATGGAACAAATTAGCTCAGAATGTAGTTGATGCACCTACTGTGCACTTTTTTAAAAAACACGTTTAAAATGCTGCTTCGGCTACAGCAATGTCCATTGTTAGCATAGGAAAGCCTGATGTGCTCCCTTCATCAATTCAATCAAGAAGTTGTTTGATTACTGTAATAAATAAATTAAAAAAAATTAAAAAGATATATTATTTTGTATAAATTTTGTCAGCGTACTTGGCAGTAGCGAATTAAGACTTCTTGGTGCCCGGGGCTACTTTTGTTTTTGGAGGCTTTTTTATGCGCCAGTCTTAAAATGACTAAAAAAAGTTTGTGGGGGTCCCTAAATTTGCGGGGCTATAGCACCCCCTTGATCCGGCACTGGTACTTGGCAAGAGATTTAATGATATGTGAATGAGTGCACCATAAATTTTTGAACAGTTTGCTTCATCGAATTCACAAATATGGTTTAAAGACGCTTGATGACCTTGGGAGTCATGATTTTAGCCAGACAACCACTTCTTTGCACTTTTCTAATTGTTTTCAGCACATTCGATTACATTTTAAATAATGTTTCTTAGAATTCGTTCAGCATTAAATTACGTTAAACTTTTAGCGCTGCGATTTATTATATTCAAAGGGAACTCGTAAATCCGTTTTCTTTTCTCTTCTCACTTGCACACCATTTATTTCTTGATTTTTAATAGTTATCAAAAAAAAGTTAATTCATAGAGAATGAGTTTTAAAAAGAACATAAGCGTGAAAAAAAAAAAAAAAAGTTAGTTGTATTTTAAAGTCATTCCAGATTTTTAGTAACTACCGGTAATGGCGATTCTACAAAATATTAAGGTGGTAGACTGCTAAAAAAGTTAGAAAAAAACGATTTTTCAAAAGTGGCATTGTTTTAAACAGTAACTGATGTAGAGTCTAAAAATATATAGATCTTCGTATGAGAAAAAAAAAATTAGAACTAATTAAAGTGATTTATATTAGTAGGGTAATTTTGTTTCCCCTAGCAACGCTCATAGCAACCGCTAGTTAAGGTTAGTAATAAAAAAAAAATTAAAAAACAAAGAAAAAATTTTAAAGCAACTAGGAAGGGGTTTGATAAAAAATACAAAAATTAAGAAGAGCAGTATATAAAAAAGGGGGATTTTAATAAGTTTGTATATTCAATATTTTTAATTTTATATGCTTTTTTCTTTGTTTTATTCTTCTAATTTTCTGGCAAAAATTGCAGGAGCTGTAATTGTCCAATCGACTTAAAATTTTGTACAGAGATTCATTATAATAAGCTTTATGTCCTGAGATAAAAAAAATTTAGAATATAAACTTTTAAAACAACAAACTTTTTGTTCTTAATATCAGAAATTAGATGATTAATTGGGCGCTTTGAAAAATCTAAAATAAAGAAATTTTCAACAAAATTTTTTATCTCAGGACATTTATCTACATAAAACAAATAAAAATACAAAAAATTAGAACTTAATAAATTATACTTTTTGAGATATCTTTACCAAGATTTTAGCCTGTTTTTGGTTTAAAATCACCTGTTTTAGCCCAAAATATATATGAAAAAAAAAAAAAAAAAAAAATTAAAAATTATGAATTTTCTAATGTATTTATCATGTTCGAAGTAAAAAAATTTATTGAAATATTGTAAAATACAAAAATAATTTTTTTAGCAGTCTACCACCTTAATAAAATGTAAAGTACATTTTTTTGAGAAAAATACCTGTTCAAGATAATTATCTTGATTAAATAAATTCAATATCAAAAAAGTAACAGCTTTTTAACCAACTATGTGAATAAATTGGATACGAATGGAAGATTTTGATTATCAAATTGTGTTATCAAATTGTGCAGACGGTTCGTCATTTTTATTTTGAACCGAGTTATGTTTTTATTATTTTTTCAATTTTTTATACTGAGTAAGCAGATATTAAAGGATCCAGAGTTAATAAGGATTGCTGAGATTTTATGAAGTGAAAAATAAAAAAACTTTATAATTAAATAGGCGTGAAAAGAGTCAACAACAAATAATGAATTATTTATACTTAAATAAAGGAATTTAAAGTCCAAAAAAAATTACAATAATATTCATTAAATAACATGATACAACTTATTATTTTCGATAAAAAATAAAACATACTAACAGTATGTTAACAATTAAAATGCTTTGAAAATTTTAAGACAAATGCCACGCTTCCAAACATCAACGCCGCACGTAAAAATGAATTTAAAGCATGTTTTTTTTTAAAAAAAAAAATATACATTTTAAGGCCGTGAAAGTTATGGCTATGTAACAAAATATTAACTTTAAAAAAATATGGATGTATAAAAATCAATTATTTATCTATATATATATTTTTTTCTTTGCAACGCCGTAGCAGTAATAGTCAGTTATATATTAACTCTTCTTAACGATTCTGATTCTTCTTAATGATTCGGTCTTCAAATTAAACCTGACATCATACTTGCTTAAATTAAAAATGTAAACTTAGTTTTTACTCACAACTTCTTTGAAAGTGATTTTGAAAGCTTAAAAGCAAACTGAATCTCTCGATAGTCGAAAGAAGCTAACGCAACTGTACGGCTAGCTGAGCAATAGACATTAATTTTTAGCACTACCTGCAGCTTTAACAGTCGCTCACTTTTAACGTTATTAAACTCTTATTTGAAAGGTTTATTAAACAAACCTTAAATTTTTTTTTATTAGTAATCATTTTGTAATTCATTTTCGGTTGATCTTATTGTGCTAGGAGTACTTTGATTGCTTGAACTATGACCGTTAATGTACCTTTTAGATTTTAATCTTTCAGCAGTCCCTGGTTTATTTTCTACCTCACTGTCGTGCTTATTTGATGAACTAATAGAGTCCTTTGAATTTGAATTAATCGATTCGTTTCGCTCTAAAGCAGAAGTTAAAGATAAGGGAGGATCAGGAGCTGATTGTTTGTTTCGAGGTTTATAAATGCTTTTCTCAAGAGAAGCCGCATGCTCTTGTCGACGACGGTTAGTTCTTTCTAGACTTGATTCCTGATTTGAAACAATTAATGGTTTTTTTGAACGTTCCAAACTCGAGTCATGGTGCATTAAATTGCTAACAGTTAAAGGAGTTGAGGAATTTGATGCAGTATCAACGTCTTGAAAACCTGTACCGTACCGAAGATTTTTACGACCGCGTGTTGAAAGAGGAATTCCTGACGATATTTGCCCACTATTTGGACCTTTTGATGACCCAGTAAGATAGTTACTCATAGAAATCTGTGGGACAAACTCCGGGCGCTTACTATTTCTTAACTTAGATCGTTGAGCTAAGACTTGATCAATTTTATCCATTTTAGTATTTCTTGTAGAAGAAAGTGGGGGCTGGGAACTAGGCATGCCAGGCAACGAATAATCGTAGTCCATACTAAAACCATTGCATTCAGCAACAGCAGCAACAGCGTTTGCAAAATCAGCATCTGTGTAGAACGATCCTTCACTGCTGATACCACTTAACCGACTAGGCGAGGAAGAGCCACTACTGCTAGGACTTGAATTAGTCACACTATCAGCCCATTGTAAAAGTATATCACTTGTTAATCCATCAAGATCGATTGGAGGAGGAGCAATTTTTTTCTTTGATTTACGTTCTGAAGCTACATCACTATAAGCAGAAGGATCCATTTCTGATTGATACAATTCTGAAGACATCATGGATGAAGCATTTGATGTGCGACGACGTCGTTTTTCAAAAGGATATTTATTTAAAGACCCATTAGAACCACCATGAGATGTTCGAGATTCTGGGCGCAAATCTGTGTTATCACCAAACATAGATGCCGTTGAAGACTGCTTAGGAGATGATTGCTGGCTTCCGTCATTCTTTGCAGGGTCAGGTAATCCATCTGCCCAATTCAAAACTTCTAGTTTGGGTAAAGGTTTAAAAGGAGCTTTGCCCATTCGTCGTAAAGTATTTTCTCCTGGAGATTTAGCACTTGTTTTGATATCAGAATCTTTTTCTCGTTTCCATGTTGCTTGAGGGTTAGTTTCCAAGACATTTACAAGTTGCGTGTCTGGAAATGATTTGTTTGCTGTGCGCACAATCTCAGCATGACGACGTTCAAAAGAATTAGTTTGAGCACGAGAATCCTTTTTTGGTATATTTTCAGAGTTCAGTGAAACAACTGGATTATCTGGCGATTTAGGTGCTTTGTAACGAGAAATCTGATTTGAATCACTTTTAAAACGATCGTTTAAATCATCTCTCGTTAATTGACGTTCATTATTCAAAGGAGCATCTACCATATATCCTATAAATAAAAGTTATCAGGTAAAAGCATAAAAAGAATGACAAGTTTAATCAAATAAATAATACATAATCAAATAGTCCAAACAAAAAATTGCCCGAAATTATTTCATTATTTATATTACTTTACTACTATGATTTACTGATAAACTATATTGTTATCACCGTTTCTTAGAGCCACCCCAATGTTACTCTCTTTAACTGACGCGACATCTTGATTACTAGACTTGGGTCCTCTCAATTCAAAACTTTCAGAAGGAACTCGTTCTAAACAAAATTTAATAAATTAATATAAAAAAAAACATCTACCTTAATTTTTAAACACACACACACAGTATATATATATATATATATATATATATATATATATATATATATATATATATATATATATACATATATATATATATATATATACATATATCACTGTTTTTAGGTACTTTGTGTCTGACTAATGTTCAGATCAACAAATCAACAGTATTCAGACTATAAAGATGTAAACATTTAACAGAAAATGAACTTAAACATAAATTTATGATTGAGCATAATGATGATGGAGCAGTCAAATCTAAATTAAATTCTGGGACAATAAAATGTCTATTATCTTGATCAAGACTGGCTTGTGAATGTTTTAATGCCTCAAACATAATCTATTTTTACAACTTTTTTACAGGTATCTCAAATTACTTGTCACAATCAAAATCCATTGTCTTTTCCCGTTTTTTATATTGCTTTTGCGGAGAAAAAAAAAAGTCAATTTAATTGGAAATGGTTTTATGTTGTTTGTTCCCACCAATCTGCTAGAAAAACACCCAAATATTGGTTACTGCCAAACTGACAGACAAAAAGCAGCTCGGTAAAACCACTTTCTTGATATTTATCTTGCACAAGACAGCGACAAAAACATATTTGCTTTGTCAACACTGCACACGAATGTTTTCTTTTTACAGTCATAAAATGATTTACAAACCGGAGAATACCAGTCTTTTTCCAATGCATAATGGTCGGTGGGTAATAACTTATACATATACAAGGTGGTCGGTGGGTAATAACTTATACATATACAAGGTGGTCGGTGGGTAATAACTTATACATATACAAGGTGGTCGGTGGGTAATAACTTATATATATACAAGGTGGTCGGTGGGTAATAACTTATATATATACAAGGTGGTCGGTGGGTAATAACTTATATATGTACAAGGTGGTCGGTGGGTAATAACTTATATATATACAAGGTGGTCGGTGGGTAATAACTTATATATATATACAAGGTGGTCGGTGGGTAATAACTTATATATATACAAGGTGGTCGGTGGGTAATAACTTATATATATACAAGGTGGTCGGTGGGTAATAACTTATATATATACAAGGGGACAAAATACAAAAGAGCTTTTCTACATTGAGCTTTTATATGCTTATGCGCTTTTATATAAATTTTGAATTCAAATAAATCTATACAACATTTATTGTTGTTATTATTATAAATAACAACACAGTAAAAAATTGGAAAAAAAAGTTCCTCAATTACATATGTCCATTGAAATGAACATTTAAAAAAATTGTAAAATGTTGCCATTGAATTATTTATTTCTAAAATATGATTGCATTATGCATAATCAATTATTCCTTAATCAAAAATAAAAAAATTAACAAAATTTTTATGCAAATGACTCAGAAAACATAAAAGCAACACAACAAAGCCAAACTCAAGCCACGTTTCGATCACTTTAAAAAACCCTTTTGTGAAAAAAAAAAACTGGTAACAGGATTAAATCTATGTTTTTTAATAAGCTACAGATACTGCTGATACTGAGATAAAATTTACACAAGTCATTTAAGATAATCTTAAGCAAGTCATTTTTATAAAAATGGCTTAAGCTCAGCACTAAATTTAAAAATGTCTATATAAATGGAAGATATGTATTAAAGGGCGAATAACTAAATTTTAATCTTTCTTTAAAAAGAAAATTTTTAATTACAGCTACCTATTTCAGCCCTATTACCCTTCTACACAATCCTTGAAAAACAAATGTTCGTGAAAAATTTTTCCTATAGCTCATCTTTTGAATCTAATTGCAGTGCTCTTTCCACCATCCCAGTAAAACAGGTTTTTTAAACAACTTCAATAAAAACAATAAACTTCAATTTTTATTTAAATAACAATTTTATAGTTCATTTTGAAAGCATGATTTATTGAGAATGATTTTTTTTTAATTTTAATTTTTTAATCCATTTATTAAACTATAAAATATGAAAATTTACAATAATATTTTATAAACTCTATAAATAAGGTAAGGTGTAACTCATATAGTTAAAAACTAGTCAATTGAGTGACACCTAAAAAAACAAAAACAAAAACAAAAAAAAAAATACAAAAAAAAAAAAATAATAATAAAACATATCGGGTGAACATGGAAAAATCCGGTCAATTTTAAATTGAGATTTCCCTAAAACCACAAATGCTTTTTATTTCTTTTATTTTTTTAAACATTACTTCCTTATCTTTATTTGTATTGATAAAATTTTGTTTAAAAATCAATGATTTGCAAAATGTTTTGGAAACAAATTGAGGTGTGTAAAAAAATTGTGATTTTTTTTTGCGAAAAATAGAATTCATACCGCTTGATTGCTAAACGTACAAATGACGCAAAATCTACAGTCATAGATATTATAAATAAGTTTGAAACTACTCAAAGATTCGTAAGAAAACTTGGAAGTGGTAGAAAAAAAACTTACCATAAATCCAAAAAGGTAAAACCAATTCTCTGTTCAATAGCAAGAAATCTGAACCAGTCACAGCGAGATTTAGGAAGAAAATTCAAGACTTCGCGTTTTTATATCAAAAAAGTACTTAAAAATGTTATAACTAAAGCATTTTATAAGAAAAATACTCCTAAGAGAAGCTTTAATGGTGAATTTAAAGGAATTCAAGGCGCAATTAAGTTGGTTAAAATAATGGCGAATAAAAGTATGTGCATAATTCAAAACGACGAGACAAAGCGGATGCAAGGCAGATTTTTCACAACTTTCTGGTCAACAATTTTACTATTAGAACAAAGAAAATTGTCGATGATCAATTTAAATATATTTGACGAGAAAAATTAGCATCTAAGTTCATTGTGTGACAAGCAATTTGCAGCTGTGGTATGTAGTCCTCTTGTTTTGTCTCTAAGAAGACTTTGACTGCTAATCTCTACATCAAAGAATGTCTCCAAAAAAGACCTTTTCTATTTATGAAAAAACACAAATACCGATTTCTCGTTTGGCGAGATCTTGCTGCTTCTTACTATTCTAAAAAATTTCTACAGTGGTGCAAAGATAATAATGTCAAAATTGTTTCTAAAAACACGAATCCTCCAAATCATCCTAAAGAACGCAAGATTAAAAATTTTCGGGCAATAGTTAAAGGAGTTCTAGGTAAGACAAGTGAAGTAACAAAAAAATAAAAAGGAATTCCAAAAAAGTGGATTAATGCCACCAATAAGGTCGAAAAAGAAAAAATCTGTGAAATGATGTCATCGACCTGCTATAAAATTCCATCTCTTGCCAAACAGCCCATCAAGCCCCTTAAATTTGAATTGAAACTTCAACTGATGTAAACACATTTAATAAAAAAAATTGAAATTGAAAAAAGCATTTATGGTTGTAGAGAAATCTCAATTTAAAGTAGACCGGATTTTTCTGTGTTCACCTGATAGAAAGAATTTAAAATAAAATATATCATGATAACTTTACTAAAAATTATAACTAATGATAAAAACTATGGTAAAAATAATTATAGTAAAGTTTGTAACCATGACAGAAATTATTAAAATAAACATAACAATCTCAAAAATTATGACAATAACCTATTACTACAATTGAATCACTATCACTTCCATTATAAATAATATTATTAAGATTTATAAAACAAAGGTAAGTTAATAAGGTAAGATAATAGTAATATTAGTAGAGTTAAAAAAGACAGTATAAAACAAAAAATAATAATAGTTTTATAAATACAGTAATACAAAAAAAGCAATAATAATAAAAGATAAAATTAATATTCATTAAATATATACTCAATTAAAAAGTTCTTAATTTGGTTTCGATTGAGAAGTAGAATGTTGGTAATAATATGGTATTAAGTTAAAATCTTTTTTTTTATAAATGGTTTTATTTGGTTCCAGTGAGAATTACATTGATGTTTTATAGAGAGTTTGCCTTATTTGATAGTGTTGAAAAAGGAAGTGTACAAGTTAAAGTTTTAGGTATTTCGAGTGTAATATTTGTGTGTCACTTGTTTTAATAAAAAAATTATTGAACGAATTTGTCAGTTTATTTTGAATAAAATCAAACACAAAGAGACAATTATAAAGCTTTACAACATCTTGAAATTTTAGAATTTTTAATTCAGAAAACTTTTCGATATTAGATCATAAAGGAGAAAATGTCATAATCGTTGAAAACTGTTTATACGATGTGATAGAAAACTACCTTTCTGAACCCAAACAGGGCAACAATAATTTAGATGTGAGGAGAACAAGGAATAGTAAATTGATATTAGAATATGTTGGGAAACATAGTGTCGTATTAATCATAATATACTATTGGCATTGAATTAGTTAATTACAAGTTAACTTCTATAAGTTTTGTAAGTTTTTTTTCAAGAATTAGTTTGTCATGAAGATTTTTTGTTTTAAGAAACTTCTTAAATATATTGTTTCATTTTTTTATCGAGGTTAAAACTGCTGAAGTAATCCATGGTTTAAGGCTCCGAGGTTAAAATTGCTAAAGTAATCCATGGTTTAAGTTTTTTTTGTATGTTTGTCGAAGAGAGTTAAAGCTAGTGAAGAAATCTTCATATGATTTATTTGTATTACTATTGGAAACTTTGATTACTTTATCCCAGTTGATTTTCAAGTAACCATTCCTGAATTCTTTACTATTTAATTTTTTGAAGTTTTGAAGAATAATATTGCTTTTTCGAGAATTAATTATTCTTTTTTTAAAAGATGAATAAATTAGAAACTGTGGCAAATGATCCGATATTCTAATAGTTACAGAAAATCTTTAGAAGTTAAATTAGAAAATATATTATCAATTAAAGTACTTGAGTGATTGGTAATTCTTGTCGGTAAAGATATACAAGCAAGAAAGTTGTTTGAAGCAATGATTTTCAAATACTCTCGAGTTTGCTTTTATAAGATCTATATTAAAATCACCCATTATAAAGTTTTATTTTTTTCAACAGCAAGTTTTTCAAGTAGAATAGTTAGATATGAAACAATAAATTCATTAATATGCATGATAGGATGGCAATAAACACAGCCTACTATTATATTAGACTTTTTAGGGAAAATGATTTCAACAAATACAGACTCTAAGAGTTGGGATTTATACATAAGTAAATCATTATGAGACTTAAAAACTAACTTATTAGAAATATAAAGTAGAGGACCTCCAAATGAAGTTTTTGTTGTAATATGTTCATAAACATATCCACTAAGATTAATTGGAGTATTTCAAATTTCAGCTTAGTTTCTGTAATTCCAATTATACTAAATTCATAATTAATTAGAGATAAAAGTGAGGTTAATTTGTCAAATGTTTAACTAATGAAGCGATATTTAAATGAAATAGAGAAAAACAAATTAATATTGATGCTGGAAAAGTTAAATTTTTCAATATCAATGTATTTAAAATTGATTGGGTTCTCAACTATGTTCGTATCATCATTGTCGTTGTTATTTAGTTAGGGAGCAGTGAGAAAGATCATTTGGCAGATCATTAAGAGGTAATATATTTACAATTGAAGTTTGAAGTAATAAGTTACGTTGAATAATTTTTTTTTTTTGAAAATAACAAATAAAATGGACAAAAAAGTAAAAAATAAATTATTTCATGGGACCCAAGAACTTTGTGTATGTAGCCAACCTGACATATCCATCAAAATCAGTTACAGAAAATGTTGGATACTAAGTAAACTCATTCCTATTGGCGCCAAACATTTTCAGTCTTTGACTTTACCAGATATTTCAGGTTGCATATGTACACAAAGTTCTTGGGTCCCATGAAATAGTTTATTTTTTACTTTTTAGTCCATTTTTAAAATGTTGTTTTTAAAAGTTTTTTTATATAATTTTTATTATTTACTTTTTATTCTGCTTAGAAACTAAAACGCTAAATGTTTGTTTTAATTACTTTAAAGATTTCTTTTACTTACGCTAAATCAAAGTATATTTTACGTTGTTTATTTTAACTGCTTTTTTAACAATTTCTTTTATTATTACCGCTGACCTTGTGTTTGTTTTGCGCTGATACATTATTACCGCTGACCTTGTGTTTGTTTTGCGCGGATACAATAAAATAAAAAATAAAATAAATCAACCAACAAGAAAGCAAGTTAAATAAAATGTTGAAAAATATCTTTATTAAGACTTTAAAGACCAGTCATTTGTAATTTAATCTAACACTTGGCTAAACTCTCTTTCTTTCTTTCTAAACTCTCTTTCTTTCTTTCTTTCTTTCTTTCTTTCTTTCTTTCTTTCTTTCTTTCTTTCTTTCTTTCTTTCTCTCTCTCTCTCTCTCTCTCTCTCTCTCTCTCTCTCTCTCTCTTTCTCTTTATATATATATATATATATATATATATATATATATATATATATATATATATATATATATATATATATATATATATATATATTTATATATATATATTTATATAATAATTCTGCAGCTGAACTATTGTTGTTGTTGTTGTTGTTGTTTTTGTTGTTGTTATTATTATTATTATTATTATTATAAACTTTTAAAATATTGGATATGAAATTAATATTGCTTATATTAATTATATTTAGATAATATATAATATAATATTATAATATAATTAATATAATATGAAAAGTAAACAAATTATTTATGGTGTCATAATATGATTAAGGTGTCATAGTATTATTGACTATGGTTTTCGTAGTATGATTGTTTAAGGTGTCATAGTATGATTGATTACAAGTAACATGGCATGATTGATAAAATACTGTGGTTTACACAATTTAAAATGGATTTTAATAAATATTCACTACTTTAATTGATTCTGGAAAAAAATCTTCTTACGTTTTGCAGGTTTAATAAGTACACGATTTGGAAAGTCTTCTTCAAAACTATCTGATTTAGATTTGCAGCATCCTGTTATCCCAGACGTTCCTTTGCTAGTATTTGCGAATACATCACCATTTCTGCTTTCACTCCAGGAAAAATTTGGATCACGCAACGGACCTCTAAAGGTAAATGCTTATATATATAAATATATATATATATAAATATATATATATATATAAATATATATAAATATATATATATATATAAATATATATAAATATATATAAATATATATAAATAAATAAATATATATAAATATATATATATAAATAAATAAATATATATATATATATATATATATATATATATTTATATATATATATATATATATATATATATATATATATATATATATATATATATATATATATATATATATATATATATATATATATATATATAGGCCCTGTGATGAATAAAAAATGCGCGATGCATAAGCACGACATGATTTTTTACGTCATTAAATTCTTTTTATTTGCTTTTCATATTTATCAACATTAACTGCACCAATTTACTTAATTACCGCAAAACTACTTTAAATCATTAATGTAGAAATGTTATTATTTAAAAATGTTTTGGAATGTTTCGTTTTTTAAAATGTAAAAACATTTGTTTATTTTCTCAACGTTTGACACGTTTCGTCTACGCTAAACGAATAAAAAACATTATAACTAAGATAACTAACATTTAAAAAAGATTATAAAATATGCTAATATTTGATTTTTTTTTTTCTCAAATATGTAATTTAAAGTTTTTCAAATAATTATTTTTTCTTTTTAAAAAGTCAGCGAGTAATAAACTGGAAATTTTAATATTGTAAGATTAAAAACTGTGCAACAGCTAATATTTTTACCAGCGATTTTATATAATATTTATTTATTTATTTTTATTTATTTTCATAAAGCAGTTGATAAGCACAATCACTCGTAATACTAAAAAACTCTAACAAACATTTTGAATATATTTTTAATGTTTACAAGGAATTTTATTTCTAGTAAAATAAAATAAAATAAAATGTTAGAATAAAAATCTTATAGGTATAAAAGACATATTTCAGCGAAAAAATTTGCATATTGAACAATATTTAATAAAAGGTAAAAAAAAAGAAAACATTAAGTGGTTAAAGGGACTTCCAAGTCCTGAGACATGTTGTGAACATATTAAATAGAATGTTAAAAAAAAAACGTCTGAGCAAATTTTTTTTGATTAAAACTAATTAATAAATGTATACCAAGAAAAAAAAATCTTGTTATTTTAGTCGAAGCTTGTCTTCTCCGTTTTCTCTGGTATTTTGAGTATGTAAAATAAATGCGATTTTCCAGGCGCATTATACAGACTTGATAATTTATTCAAGCGCGTTTAATTCATAGGAGTTTTAGCATGACGTCTTAGATTTTTTTGTTTATTTGTTTAAAACACCGATTGTTATTTTTTACATACAATTTCAAAATCATATTCATTTTTATTATATTTTAAAGTTCTAAAATTTGTTTGTAAAACAAAATTAAAAACAAAATAAAATTAAAAACAAAAATAAAATAAAAAACAAAATAGTATTTTTTTTGCGCAACTTTTTTTAAATAATCGTCTAGACCACGTGTATTTTGATTTCTTTTGTTATAAATTTTTCTTTCAAAATATTAGATAAAATAATTTTTAACCTAAATAATACTGCACTTTTATTAATTTACTTTGTAAATATTAAAAAAAAAAATTAATAGCGCATTTTTTCTCTGATTTTCAAAAATGTATTTTTTGGTATTGAAGTATATTTTTTGGTATTGAAGTTAATTGATATTATATATTTTATTAGTATATTCTTAATTTTTATATCTTTTCTTAGTGCTTGGTTAAACTAATTGTTTGTTAGATTTGTAAAAAACTAACGAACAATTAATAAAATAAACTTTTAATAAAATAAGTAACTATAGTTAGCTATTTAAGTAAAATTTATTAGTAAAATTTTTAAAGAATTTCTAGAATGTTTCCAATGACGTCATGCTTTAAAACTCCTATGAATTAAACGCGCTTGAATAAATTATCAAGTCTGTATAATGCGCCTGGAAAATCGTGTTTATTTTACATACTCAAAATACCAGAGAAAACGGAGAAGACGAGCTTCGACTAAAACAACAAGATTTGTTTTTCTTGGTATACATTTATTAATTAGTTTTAATCAAAAAAAATTTGCTCAGACGTTTTTTTTTAACATTCTCTTTAATATAAACACAACATGTCTTGGGACTTGGTAGTCCCTTTAAATATGAGAATTAATTTTATTTTATAAATAAACTTTTATACTAAATTTTTTATTTTATATATAGCTCTCAAAGATTGTCAGTAAAAATATCATCTTCGCTATTAATGTCTTCATCCCTTCTTGTTTCGATAAGCGAATCATAGTCTTCTAAGCTTAGCTGAGTTTTTTCATCATAGACAATAACGCATTTTCTACGCTTTTTCGTGTACTTTGCAAGAGAACGCTCAATTAAATCATTGTAATCTTCTTTAGTCTAAAGACTATGGTTTCCATGAATAACAACACAACCCGCAAGCGCTTCGTGACTTAAGGAGAGTCGTTTATCAGTTAAAATATTTGTGACAGTGCTAAATGTCCTTTCTACTTGCGAGTTTGAGCCAGATATGCACATGACTAACGATACCAGGCAACATACATTTGGAAATTCAATAAAATATTTCTTGAAAATAATTTCCCACAAACTACAAACTGAATGACATTCAAACTCAGTTCGAACTAGCAGCTTTACTTTTTTCCACTTCCTAAGAGCAACATCTCTTTGATAACCAGCGTTTTTTAATGGCGTCTCAAAATGATCGCTTATATAATTTATTTCTTGCACTCCGGAGTCTGGATTTTCCTTTATCCAATGAATTGGGTCAATAAACTTCATACTTCTGTAAAGTATAAGCTCTCTTTTCCAATTGATAAAATTTTGTCTTCAATCTCTAATATGGTACGATTGCTTGTTGCGGGAATTTCATGAGCTAATAGCTCATTAGTTTCAAATACTTTAGAGGCAGGAATAATTAGTTCCAAACAATCAAGATATAAAACCACATTATAAAGGAACGAGTGACACTTAAATGACCTTAACAAACCTTTTACTTTAGATACAGTGTTTTTATTTGTCTGTTCACTTGCATAATTTTGGTAAGCCGTAATAAAAGCTGGCCATGTTTTTAACATATCAAAAACTCCCTTTCTCCTATGTCGAACAAATTGCGTTCCTGTTATTTTCGGTAAATTGTAATGCATTATACCAAGGCATTTTGATGCTGCTTCAACTTCCGCTTTTAATTTACCTGAATTTCTTAATAGGTAGTAATTAGCTAGATAAAATTCGTCAATCTGTGCAAAATCAGGTATTTCATTAAATGCATCTTTTATTGCCAATTCAATTCTATGATTAATACAATGGATTTTAATTAACCAGGGACGATTTTGTTGCATCTGTGACAGTACACCAATATGTGCACCAAAGTTTACTTTTGTACTATCTGCAGTCGCACATATAACTTTGTTGGTATAATGTTCTTTACTTAATCTAAATAATGATTTATCTGATTCAAATACACTGTTTATACCAGTAGTTATGAATTTGAATCACTACCACCACATAGGGACATATCCAACAACTCCGTGACCAGGTAAATAGGTATCTCTTTGCGGTCTGTTTGAACCAAAACTAGTACTTTTTCCTTTCCCATTTTTCTAGCCTGACTACCATCGCTAAGAATAGAAAAAAAGTTGCACAATTTGAGAATTTCAGCACATTTTTCATGGACAATGTCTGTACAACATTTAATTATTTCTCTGCCTGTGGAACCATTTTCTTTGCGTCTTATCAAGCTTGCGCCACTTATTTTTGCACACCTCCCCTCAAAGATGTTCATTAAACAGTAAAAAATTAAAAAAAAAGTCATTACACGTAGCCAAAGACAAAAAATTAAGTTTTATAATTTTATTTCACACATTTAAAAGCAAGTTTAAACCTTACAAGAACAGAAAAATGAGTATGAGGTATTGTGGGATGGCACGTCATTTCATAAGCATTTTTCACTAGGTAACGATAGGAATTTTGTATGCGTGTTTCTTTTAACGTCACTTGGTTGTAAAGAATACTTTTTGACGATTTTTTGGAATCAACCTGAGGTCATTTATAGAAATAATATAAATTTAGAGATAGATGTTAATGAAGTTAATTGTATATGTATTTTATAATAAAGAGCGATTTTATCCATTTTAATTTAAAAATGAAATTACTTATTTCTTGTTTTTAAGATTTTATGCTTTAATGTGCATTGAAATATGCCCAATTATCTATGTATATATACAGCTCTTGGAACTAGGGTCAGAATTTAGCAATGCTAACCTCAATATGCTTGAGGTTGGCAAAAAATTGCCAACTTTGTTTCAATGTTTTATGGTAAAACCTTTTTATCAATTTTTTTTCCCCGACCTCTAAAAGAATAAGGTTGGCAATAATTTGCTGACCTCATTATTTTCTAATTCTGAGGGTTGTATATAATTATATATAAATATATATATATAATACTTATATAATATATTATATTTATCAACCTTCAGAATTAGGGTCGGCATTCGGCAATGCCGACCTAACTACCGACCTGAAAGTGTTTAAGGTCGGCAAAAAGTTGCTGACCTCGTTTTTATGTTTTATGGTCAGGCCTTTGTATCAAATTTTTTTTTTGTTGTAAATTCATAACTTGTAAATTCATAACAACTCATAAACTACGTTAGGTTGTAACCTTTTAGATGGTAAAGGTAGATGGTAACACATTGTAATATATAACCACAACGTACTGTGTGTGATGGGATAATAAAGCCCCCCCCCACCTTCTTTTCATAAAAAAAATTCAAATAAATAATTATATGAAAGTTCTTTTTAATTTTGATTTGCAATGGCCATGTTTCTGTCACGTTCTAAAAAGGTGTCACGCATATACAAAATGGGACAGAGTTCTAATTGGTAGTGAAACAGTAATGTAGTCAAGTTTTTCAGTTTTATGAACTAGACAATAAAATCAATCTAAAGCTTTTCATTTTATATTTTGCCTAGCGCATAAGTTGCAAATCAATTTAATATCCTTTACATTTGAGAAAATTGATAATTTAAAATCATGTAGCATAGAGCAAACATTATCAGACAATCTGTTTCCAGCAGTTTCATCATAGCAATAATAATATAATTTTTGAGTTAAAAAATAAAACAGCAGTTGCCTGGAATAGTATACATATTGGTTTTAAACGTTTAGGCTTTTTTTTTTTTTTTTTTTTTTTTTGGGGGGGGGGGGGGAGTCAAGTAAATTAATTCACAATTAAAAGCATGATGAATCTTTTCCTCTAATAAAACATTTAGGTTTTTTTCTGATGGAGCTGGAGCCATACATCCAAAACATTCTTGTTTTGTAATATATTGTGTCAGTAGTATCAAAATCAAAATATCATTGAGTCAATTTTTTACTTTATTAGGATACAAAAGGTTATGACTTAAAACAAAAGTTGAAACAATTCAAGAAAAAATACTTGTCATTATAAAAAAAAACTTAATTTATATATATATATATATATATATATATATATATATATACACCTATTACATATATTATTTATATATATACCTATTACATATATTATATATATATATATATATATATATATATATATATATATATATATATATATATATATATATATATATATATATATATATATATATATATATATATATATATATATTATATATATATATATTAAACTATTAAAGGTTTGAAATTCTATAGCTATAAAAGGTTTTAGATAGAGATCTAGGTTGGTATGAATTAATTTTTTTTTTTAATCAATATTAGGGAGCCATCAAGTGAAACAAGCTAACAGATTTGACTTACCCTCGACTAAGACTTGCACTTGGAAAGTCTGGCGTACGACTGTTCTGCAGCAAACCTAAACAAATGAATATTGAATAAAAATAAACAATAATTTAAAGTTAAAAAAGTATATATAAGTGTTATTCACCTCTTGAACTTTCAAATCGTTTCGAACCATATTTATAGCTGTTTTTTTTCTTTCTGCAACATACGATTATAATAATAATAATAAAAATGATTAATGCCAAAAAAACTCCAACAGCAACAATAAACCATGTTTCTTTAACCAGTTTTAAAAAAGAACTTTGTTCGGAACTTTTATCTTCTGGAAGAATCAGCGAGGAGGTAATATAATCACCTTGTTTATAGAGACCTAAAATATAATAAAAAAGTTTAAATCTTACCACTCTAAAAAGAAAAAAAAAATGTCACATAAATATAATCTTACTGTGTTATATCACAGTGATGCTACTATATAGAGTTGTATGATGCTATTGTTTAGCAACAAGTCACTGTATTGTTGCTACAAAGTCACAAGATTATGTGGTCGTTGTACTGTCACTATAATGTCACTTTGATTGTGTGTATGACTATTACAAAAAGATTTTTATCAAAAATATTTTCTTACGAAGTAGAGCTATCTGAATTTTACTACTAACAACATAACCAGAATTTAACCACGCTTCTACACTGACTTGGTAATGCTGATTAGGATCCATTTTAGACAAAGAATATATTGTAGCCTTTGAATCAACTTCAATACTGGGAAAAGCTGGAACACCACTTGCATTAAGACAAATTACCTAATAAAAAAAAAATAAAATAAAATAAATAAAAAAACTATTTAAATTATACTTAAAATTACATACAAAATATCAACTATACATACAATATCAGTAGCGTACACATAAAAATATTAGTCACAAATACAATATCAAAAATAACACAAAAAATATTACTAGAACATAAACATGTGTTCTCTAGAGAACGCACGTAAAATATTATCCACACACAATACTACTAAAAATTACAGATAAATATCAGTAACAAGTATAATTTCACTAGAGATTATACATAAATTATTACTTTGAACATCAAATGTCTATAATGATAATAAAAAAAATACTGAAAAATTAACAAAACTACAAGCAACTTTTATTCAAGTCCTTTATTTAACAAGACTGCAAGCAACTTCTAATCAAGTCCTCTATTTAAAAAGACTGTAGCAACTTCTAATCAAGTCCTCTATTTAAAAAGACTGTAGCAACTTCTATTCTACTCCTCTAGTTATTTAGTCTTCTATTCTAGTCCTTTAGTTGTTTCTTAACAGAAAACAAAGAAGAAAGTTGAAAGAGCTGGAAAGCAGTTAAAAAAAAAATTGAATGATTGTATTATAAAAAGTCAGGAAAAGACTTGAAACTGTAAATTATATGATTCAGGAAAATGTAGTATCGAATTCTAAAATACCAGTGTTTGAGAAAAAAACTAGATAAAAGTTTTTTAAGCATAAAGATACAATTACAATAGAAGGATGTGATTTAGCTAAATGATCAGATTATGTTTGGTTTAAAGAAACAAGTGATGATAGCAGTACAAACAAGTGATGATAGCTTGAGCAGTGACCATAGTAGTATTTGTAGAAAAGAGAGATTCAAACTTAAAACCATTAAACAAAATCTTAACAGTTAGAAATTTTAAAAATGAAAGTATTTTTAGGCCTCATTACAAAATACCAGTTCAAATATGACAACAATATTTCATACAAGCACAAATAAGAGATTTCGGAAACTAGAAAATGGAGGTAGAAGTAAGAAAATAGCCAGCATGTAGTAATTGGCCGGGGTTAATATTTGACCGGGGCCAGGGCCGGGTTTGTGACCAGTGCTGCATAAACATTTATACATTTTAAAGTATATATTTTTTATTCAAAATTCATATTATATTTTGTATATATATGTATATATAAACATCATTATGATCAACATGATCATCATCATGATCATCATTATCATCATGATCATGATTGTAACCATCATTATCAACAACATAAAAGAAGAAGGCCTGATGAGGATCATCATCATAATCATCTTTATTGTCATCACCATCATCATCATCATCATCATCATCATCATCATCATCATCATCATCATCATCATCACCATAATCATCACCATCATCATCATCATCATCATCATCATCATCATCATCATCATCATCATCATCATCATCACCATCATCACCATCACCATCATCATTATCATCATCATCATCATCATCATCACCATCACCATCATCATCATCATCATCATCATCATCATCATCATCATCATCATCATTATCATCATCAGGCTTTAGCCTCCCTCTTTTATGCTGTTTCTCTAATATAAACAATCTAGTGCATTTTTTTTCCTAACTAAAGCTCATTCATACAATATGTACTCTCTCAATATGTAATGCACTCTCTTCAAACTTTTTTACTTCTATCACTACGATTTTCTACTGAAGCTGCTACCTCTTTACATACTGATACCTAAAATTACTTTAATCTTTTTTAATAAACGTTGTTCAATACAATATTTTTCTAATCTTTCTAAGATTATGTCTCCTTTTCTTGTTTTGCTAGTCACACCACACATCCATCTAATCATCTTTTTTTTTAGCAAATACTACATCATATAAATACTAAAGTTTATATAACAATCTAAGGATGTTGCATGTCAGCATCTAAATAAATAGCAAACATATATGTTTATATCCATAATATGTATGAAAAAGTGCATCTTGGAAGATTTTATTCCTTCTGGAATAAAAGTTTCGAAGCTTTTATTACTTCTCTTCAATTTTAAGTCAAGCCTGATTCTACTCCACATTTTTCAACATTAATCATTTTTTTCATCTTTTTTTCAAGAACATCTCTTCTAAGAACAAATGTCCTTTATTATTGCAATAAGCTAATATAAAAAAGTCCTGTCTAATGTTTAGCTCTGTTATTCTCAGTTTACTAAATCTTGTATCTTATCTCAGATGTTAGGTTCTAGATACTTTTAGTTAGTTTTTAACAGTGTCATTAAATAAAGTAAGTCATACATTTAATCTCTAATTCATGGGTCTGATCTTTTTACTTCTCCCCAGAATAAAGCAGAGTTATTTGAAAGAAACCTTACTCTAATTTAACTCTTGAATATAATGGCCACACTCTTCCTAAAAGTTAAACAAATTAACCCATTGTTAAACATTGAAATCACTCTTGCTTCCAATACTAAAATTAATTATCAATTAAACACTACAGTTTGTGCTTCAGACAAGATTACCATCATAGTCTTAAAAAATTGTTCTCCAGAACTCTCTTCAATTTTTGCTAAAACTTTAAAAAGTGCTTAATAAGTGGTTCCAATTTTTAAAAACTCTAGAAAACATTTTGACTTCTCCAACTATCCTATCATTAGTCTTTACTCTGTTACAACTTCTATTTTTCTTTTTTTTTAAAAAAAAAAAGAAAAAAAGAAGTTGTTAAACCTCAAGATGAAAAATAAGTATTTTACTATTTGAAGAGTTAAAGACTTTGCTAATAATAATAATAAGATTGTGAAATAGTAAAAAATGATAGTAATAGGGATCAGAGTGATCTCTATAGCGAAAACATTTCACATTTCACATTTTTCACTCTCTGGAGAGTTGTTATTGTTTTCTAAATAACAACTCTCCAGTGAGTGAAAAATGTAAAAAAGATGAAAAATGGGGGTAAGTTGGATCTCTAACAGCGAATTAAACTGATTCTATAAGATGACAGAAAGGGCACCATCATTATATAAATCAAAAAATAATAAGAGATAAATCAAAAAATATTAGACTTTCTTTTTTTAATGATATTGTTAAAGACTTTTCAAGTTGTCTCTACAACCTAACTTCTGAAATAAAAAATGAGTAATCTAAAAAAGGATCTTGCATAAACTTTATCAAAAAAAAAAAAAAAAAAAAAAAACTTGTTCTGTAGAGAGTTTTTATTAGTGAAAAAGATGAATAAATTGATTACAGTTGGAAATAGCACCCGCACAAGAAGCAGAGAATCATGGGGTAAAACAAAAAGAAATAAAGGCTTTTATGCCTGCCAGAATCCAGAAAAATATAAACATGGCACAGTTTTTGGCAGAGGCAAAAGACATCAGTTTAAAGGCCATCACAAAGAAAATCATAAAATAAATCCCAGTCAGCTTTGACAGAGAGAGGTGAGAAATACAATCATAGAACAACAGACAAGGTATAACAACAGACAAGATACAACAACAGACAAGATACAACAACAGACAAGATACAACAACAGACAAGATACAACAACAAGATACATCAACAAGCAAAATACAACAACAAGATACAACAACAAACAAGATACAACAACAGACAAGATACAACAACAACAAGATACAACAACAACACGATTCAACAACAAACAAGATACAACAACAAGATACAACAACATAATATAACAACAGACAAAATACAACAACAAGATACAACAACAAGATACAACAACAAGATATAACAACAGACAAGATACAACAACAAGATACAACAACAGACAAGATACAACAACAAGATACAATAACAAGATATAACAACAGACAAGATACAACAACAAGATACAACAACAGACAAGATACAACAACAAGATACAACAACAGACAAGATACAACAACAAGATACAACAACAACAGACAAGATACAACAACAAGATACAACAACAGACAAGATACAACAATAAGATATAACAACAGACAAGATACAACAAGATACAACAACAAACAAGATGCAACAACAGACAAGATATAACAACAAGATACAACAACAGACAAGATATAACAACAAACAAGATACAACAACAGACAAGATGCAACAGCAGACAAGATACAACAACAAACAAGATACAACAACAAACAAGATACAACAACAAGATACAACAACAAGATATAACAACAGACAAGATACAACAACAGACAAGATACAACAACAAGATACAACAACAAGATATAACAACAGACAAGATACAACAAGATACAACAACAGACAAGATACAACAACCAGATACAACAAAAAGATATAACAACAGACAAGATATAACAACAGACAAGATACAACAACAAGATACAACAAGAAACAAGATGCAGCAACAGACAAGATATAACAATAAGATACAACAACAGACAAGATATAACAACAAACAAGATACAACAACAGACAAGATATAACAACAAACAAGATACAACAACAGACAAGATACAACAACAGACAAGATACAACAACAGACAAGATACAACAACAAGATACATCAACAAGCAAAATACAACAACAAGATACAACAACAAACAAGATACAACAACAAGATATAACAACAGACAAGATACAACAACAAGATACAACAAGATAAAACAACAGACAAGATACAACAACAAACAAGATACAACAACAAGATACAACAACAAACAAGATACAACAAGATATAACAACAAACAAGATACAACAACAAGATACAACAATAACAAGATACAACAACAACAAGATACAACAACAGACAAGATACAACAGATAAGAAGATACAACAGAATTTGCTTTAAAGATCACGAATACTTCCAAAACAGGAAACAATGAAACGCAGATTTACATCTTTGCTTTTAGATATAGAAAGGTTGAAAGGCTGGTCAACAGAAATTTTCTGAATATCCCTAAAATTTTAAACTTCATCAACGTTAAACAATTCCATTAATGTTAAACAATTTTGAAACTGTGACAAAATTTGAACTATAAACTTCCAGAAAGTAATTAAAAAAAAAAAAAAAAAAAATTAAAGAACATGAGACATAACTTACTTTGTAATATTTAATTTGATCTTCAAAACTAGCTGGAGGCACCCATCTTACTATGATTTCAGTTTCAGAAAACTTCATTAACGTTACAGTAAGTAATTTTGGAAGAATAACTAAGATTAAATTAATTGAAACTATAAACTATGAATTTCAAAATATTATTATATTGGATGTGTGCAAAAATTGTTGGACAACTTTGAATTTTTAATAGTTTATTAACATAAAGTTAGCAGTGCAGACCTGTAATACAGGTCATGGTTGGTCTGCTCCGCACCTACCAATTTTCTTTTGGTATTTTGATATTTTTATAAATTCAAACTTTTTGAACTAAATTTTAAAATTTCAATTAAAATTTCAATTAAATTATAAAAGTTCAAATCTTTTAAAAAAAAATTTTAAAATTTTTCCTTCCTGTTAATTTGATGAACAAATAATTAAAAAAAAAAAAAAAAGAAAAGGAAAAAAGAAAATTAAAAAATACTTTTAAATTAATATAACTTTTGATAAAGAAACCAAAAATATAGAAAAAAACGTTTACTACTTGACAAAAGAATTTCAATTTTGAAAAAGATTTGAACCATTCAAATAATCAATAAAAATCATTAAAAAAAAAAAGTAAAAAAAGAAAAAGAGAAGTAAAAATTATCTATTAAAAAAGAAAGAGAAGAATTTGATTAAATAAAATTTTCATTTAACTTGATTTTGTTGTATCTTATTTTATTTAATTATTTTAATTTATTTCTATTATACATTATTATAAATATATTATTGTTAAATATATTACTATTATCTTTAATTTAGTTATCAAGATATTATTTTTACTTTTATTTATTTTTACTTGATGTTATTTCTGTTTTTGTTTATAATATATTTATATTATTAGATATAATTTTAATTCAATTTTCTATTTAATTTATAATTAGTTACATATTCTTATTTTGATTAGTGATATATTACTTATTATTCTATTGTTTTATTATTATAAATGTTATTTTATATTTGTTTGTTTATTAATACTGCCTAATTTACAGCAAATATCATTACTATTATTACTATTATCATTATTATTATTACTATTATAATTGATGCTATTATAATTATTATTTATAATATTGTATCGTTTTTACTTTTCATTGTTATTTTTATTATTATTTTCTTTTCTTTTCCTTTAAAACTTAACAACTTCAAGCTTTCTTCTAAATTTTTCAAATTTTCTTCTTTTAGCTTTCTCATTAGTTTTACTATGACCTCAAATTTTCAGGGAGTATGCACTGCATGTACAAAAAAAGTTAGTGTAAGTTGTCGTGCAACTCAATGTGATGTATGTTTGTCTTGGACTCATTCAAAATGTAGCAGGTTTTATGATCATGGGTACAATTTATCACATTCAAAACGCTCAACATGGCTGTGTGTAAATTGTACTAAAGGTGTCTTTCCATTGACTGATGTATCTGATAATGAATTTAAACTACTCATCTCTTCAAATAAAATTACTGTTGACTTGCCTTTATCAACTAAACTTATTCCAGTATCGGGATTGAATAAAATCTATACTCAATTTAATAAATTTATTACATCACATGCTTCAGTCTATGATGAGGAAAACTATTCATCTTTTAATGTAAATAATCAATATTATGACATTAATAAATTTTGTTCTGATACTTTGACATCTTAAACTCTATTTCTTTTTTCCATTTAAACATATCCTTTTTACAAAAACACTTTGAAGATCTGAACATTTTGTTATCATTAATTAGTTTTGAATTTAGCATTATTGGAATTACAGAAACATGATTAAAAAAAAGAATCTCCTTCCACACATCCAATTATTATTCAAAATTATAATTTTAAGCACACACTGAATCTTCTTGCGGTGGAACCTTACTATATTTATCAAAAAACTGGTTTATAAAAGAATAGATGATTTGATCATATACAGACCAAACTATTTAGATTCTACTTTTGTTGAAATAATTTTTCCCTAAAAAACAAATGTTATTGTTGGTTGCATATATAGAGACCCTAGCATGGATGTAAACAACTTCAATAACAAAATGTCTGTCTTTCTCCATAAAATATCTACTGAAAATAAATCTGTCTTTCTACTTGGCAATTTTAACGTAGATCTGATACAGTCAAAATCTGACTTGGCAACTTCTGAATTTTTAAACTTACTTCTTATAATAATCACCCATTTATTACGCTCCCAATGAGAGTTACTAACCGTTCTGCTACAATCATTGACAATATCTTTTCAAATGTAACCATTAACCAAATTGTTTCAGGAAATCGAACAAATTCTATTTCTGACCACCTGCCTCAATTTCTTGATTGTCCTATTTTCAGCAAATTATTTATAACACGCAATCATAATTTATACCACAGAAACTTTAAAAATTATAATAAAGAATTATTTAAATCTGAATTATTAAAAGTTGATTGGAATGACATTACCAATAAAAACAATGTTAACTCCAGTTTTGAATAATTTATTTCTCAAACAACATTGTTGTTTGAATGTCATGTGCCACTCAAAAAAATTAGTATTAAGAGCTACAAGCATCAAATCAAGCCATAAATTACTAAAGGAATAATAAAATCAATTCAAATTCGAAATCTTATTCAAGGGAAAATGTTAAGGATAACAGATCCAACAAATATAATTTAACTAAAAACTATCTTTAAACGATATATATATACTATAATTATTTAAATGAAATTGTGTAAAAAAATACATTTCAAAAAATTCTTTTCAGAAAATACAAAAAATCTTTGTGAGACCTGGAAAGGCATAAAAAGTCTAATAAATGTTGAAAATGTCAATAATGTACCTCCAAATTGCTTACAAGTTAACGAAACATACATAACTGAAGCAACTCTAACCTGAGAAGAATTCAACAACTTTTTCACAAATATAGCTCATAAACTTAATTCTAAAATCATAAACATCCAAACCTTCATAATTTACTGATATCTCCAACAAACCATTTTAAAATATCATCACTTATATAAAATTAAAACCTAGAAAATCAATAGGTCCAAACAGCATTCTCACAAACATTCTTACTGATTTTAATTCTGAATTTTTTCATATTCTCTCTAAGCTATTTAATTTCTTCTTTTTAAATGGAATTTTTCCTGACATTTTCAAATTATCTTCATTCCAGCATATAAAAATGGCTCAAAGCTCTTATGTACTAACTATAGACCAATTTTTATCTAACATTATCAAGCTCCTTGAAAAACTTATATATTCTAGATTATACTCATTTTTGAATTCCTTAAATTGTTTAAATGAATTTTAGTTTAGATTTCGATTAAAACACTTTATATGATACTGGTCATTTGGTGGGTGGTGTTTTTATTGACTTACAAAAAGCGTTTGATATTGTTAATCATACCATTTTAATTTCTAAACTTGAGCATTACAGAATCTGAGGAGTTGCTTGTAATTGGCTTCAATCTTATCTTTCAAATCGAAAGCAGTTTGTTAGCATTAATGGTTACAAATCAAATAACAAACATATAGTTTGTGGTGTTCCCCAGGGTTCTGTTCTTGGCCCTTTATTGGTTTTGAATTATATTAATGATCTAAATAACTCTGTCCACTTCTTATCAGTCCATCTGTTTGCTGATCATACTAATATCTTGCATATTAAAAGGTCTCATCATTCCTTGTTTAAAAATATAAACTTAGACCTAAAAGGTTTAGTTCATTGGCTAAATGCAAACTTAATTTCTCTGAACTTGGAAAAAACTAAACTAATATTAATTTCATCTTCAAAACAAAAAATTTTATACAACAATCATAAAACTAAAATTAAATTTAATAATAGACATTTATATCGAACACGCGTTGTTAAATATCTTGGTATTTTTATAGATTCGAACCTATCATAGAATTTTAATAGAGATGCACTCTGAAAAAAACATAATCCAGCTAATGGCATGCTTTAAATAATTTGCCATTATGTTGATAAAACTACCCTTAGGAATCTATATTTTGCAACATTTTAATCTCATCTCAACTACTGTTGTCAAGTTTGGGGACAAATTGGCAACTGTAATAATAATAAATTGCTATCAAAATTTCAACTCCATAATACAGAAACTTCAAAATTCTTCAAAAAACTTATAATTTCTACCTTGTCAGCATTAAATTTGCTAATCTTCTTTTTGTTTTTAATTCCCTCAATAAAAATTTACCTTCCTCTATTACAACTTGTAAACGACTGGGGCTGGTATTTGACTGTGGCTAAAGCCGGTTCTACGGTCGGAATGGATTAACATTGGCGCATATTGACTTGTTTTTATATATCAACTCGTTTCTCCGCGCAGCGGCCTTGTTCGTCAAGGTTCGTGTTTCGGAGTAATAGAGTTGAGAGAGGGTTATAGCCACAAATAAGTAGCCTCCTTGTCTGTAGTGGCCGTCTCGGCCTTGAGGAGGTGAATTAAAATAAAAAAAAAAAAAAAAAAAAAATATATCATATCAATATGCACCAATATTTATACAGTCCCAACCATAAACCCGGCTATGGCCCATGTCAAATACCAGCCCCGGTTGTTTACTAATTGCAACTTCTTTCACTAAAACTCAATTTATACATTCACATTTAACTAAAAATATCAATAATGGAAAACTAAATGTACCTCCCTATAAAACTTTGAGGTGTGGTGAGTATTCAATTACACATCAGTGCATCAGTAAATAAAATCGAAGTCTTGTGTGCATTATGAATGAGTTTGAAAAGTTAAAATTTTAAAATAATTTATCTTTATTTCTTTATTTAAAACAAAATAAATTTAAACTAATTCTAAAAAAAATTAAAATTTTAATGTTTTATCATTATTAACTTCTTTTAGTTTTATAGAAACTTTATTGTTTTTGTCATTAATATTTATTACTTTCATTACTGTTTAAAATGTGTAAAACATGTATTACTACCTATATTACTTCTTAAACGCTTCTTTTAAACTTAGGTAGCGACTAGCTAGATATTCACTGGCTAGTCGCTAGCTCATTTCCCACCAGACTTGTTCATCTTGTAATGAGAGTATAAAATCATACTCGCTAAAGAGTTTAGGATGGAGAAAATAATAAGTTGTTCAA